CAAAGTGAAACTTATAGGATGCTGCTAAATTAGTACAGGTACATGTATAGGCTTAAATGCTTATATTAGAAAAGAAGACTGAAAGTTAACCAGCAAAGTACCCAGGACATTTGAGAAGAAAAACAGAGCATACTTAACGAAAGTAAAAGGAAGGAAATAAAGATAAGTGCTGGCAACTACATAAGGTCATGTAAACACCTCCACACTTCCGGAGAGAGTGAAACTTGATATAACCAATGTGTTAAACTATTTTCCTCACCCAGTAAAGCTTACAATGCACACCTATGGGGAGGCCCAGGCGGGTGGATGACCTGAGATCAATGGTTCGAGACCAGCCTGGACAACATGGTGAAACCCTGTCTTTACTAAAAATACAAAAAATAAGCTGGCCATGGTGGCGGGAACCTATAATTTCAGCTACTTGGGAGACTGAGGCAGAAAAATTGCTTGAACCCCGGGAGGCAGAGGTTACAGTGAGCTGAGATGGCACCATTGCACTCCAGCCTGGGCAACAAGAGCAAAACTTCATCTCAAAAATAAATAAAGAAAATAAAAGGCATACCTATGGCCCAGCAATTCCGCCCTCAGAAACTTCTGCACATGCCCCAAGAGACAGTAGAAGAATGCTGTTAGCAGCATTGTTATAATAGCCAAAAAATTCAAATCAAATAAAAATAAATGAAATGTCTATGGCTAGAATGGATAAATTATGATCTATTCATACGATGGAATACTGTGGGTTAGTAAAAATGAATGAACCGCAGCTACGCTCATGACCACAAATGAATTTCAAAATCATGATGAGCTAGTGTGAGAATAATGCATATTGCTGAAAATATTCAAGAATACCTAGGATAAAGGATTTATGCCTTTGGGGTTAGGAAGAATATCTTTAAAAAGACATGCAAAGCATACTGGGAAAGATGGATAAAACTGAGAATATTAAAATTAAAACATCTTGCATAATAAACTGCTATCAACAAAACAGAAAGACAAGCCACAGGCTGGGAGAAGATATTTGCAACACATTTAACTGATGCTGGGTTAGTCTCCAGAACTTATAAAGAATTATTAAACATCAGCAAAAGACAAGCTCAAGAGTAAAAAATGGGCAAAAGGTATGTGAAAGGAAAATAAATCTTGGGACCCCCAAAATCACTAAGCTAAAGGGCAGAGTCCAGCCGGGAACTGCTTAGGAGAAACCTACCTCTCATTCTATTCAAAGTCACCCCTCTGCTCACTGAGATAAATGCATATCTGATTGCTTCCTTTGAAAAGGCTAATCAGAAACTCAAAAGAATGCAACTGTTTGTCTCTTATCTACCCATGACCCAGAAGCCCCTCCCGGCTTAGAGCTGTCCTGCCTTTCCGGACAGAACCAACGTTCACCTTACATATACTGATTGATGACTCCTGTCTCCCTAAAATGCATAAAACCAAGCTGTGCCTGACCACCTTGGGCACATAGCGTCAGGACCTCCTGAGGCTGAGGGCATGTCCTTAACCTTGGCAAAATAAACTCTCTAAATTGACTGAGACCTGCCTTGGATATTTTGGATTAGCAGGTATGAAAATGCAATTTACAGAAACGGAAGTGGAACGACTAGCAAATTCATTGGTGATGGGAAAATGCAAATCAAATCTCTGGTGCTTACACCTCAGGTGTTCAACACCAAGCTCATGACCCTGCCACTGTCACCACTCACTCTGTCCACTCATCTTCAGGCCCATTGGCTGCTGACCACACCCGGATGCTCACCCTAACTTTTCTACAGTACCTCTAAATGCCAATGCTTACCTGCCTCTCGATTAATGGTGCACTCACCTGGAGCTGTTCCAGTTCCCAGGAGGTAGAACACACAGCCCCTTCTTTCCCAAGTCATATACCTACTTCCAGGGTGGCCAGGCCCCGGCAGGTTCAAGTCACAGGAAAATCCTGTGGTTAATGAAATGATGGTCCCTTTCAACCCTCAACACTATTGCTGAGTCGATCTCACCATGGCTGAGTCCTCCTTTCCCCAGGGTGAATTATTTTCCAGGTTCTCAAACACCCATTCCCTTTGCCATTATGTATCTGTTGGCTTCCCCACCCCATTTCTGTATGGCTGAACCCCCAAGTAGAAATACAATTTGAGATCATTTCCGAGAGGCTATTCAGTTCCATAAACATCATGAATGCCAAACATAATTCATGATTCTAAATTGTTTTCTGAGATCGGTAAAAAATGCTAATTTTTCTCACCGAGATAGAAAGTGAAAACAAAGAACTTTAGAATAACTAAGTTAGGATGACATGTCAGTTATGCCATCCTGCTGAGAGGCTTACTGCTTTAACTCGACCGTGGTACACCTACAACATGGCTGCCTCAACTCCATTCTTCCCCAAGTAAGAAATTCAGGGGTAAGAATAAAACCAGTCAAGACATACATGCTTCTTTCTCATCTGGCTGTAAAAGAGCCATGCCTTGGGATTAGCGAAAACTGTCACGTCACAAAATCACAGTTGTCTCATTCCAGCTCCCATCCATAGCAGGAATGCCCTCTAAAATTTTGCAGGCCTGGTGACAATGAACTCTATTTAAATCCCTCTAGAAAAAAAAAGGGGGGGAGGCATAAAGTCTAACAATACCAAGCATGGGTATCCCCAGCTCACATCGTGGGACGCAGCCAACCACTCTTCTCCATCAACATCTGCTGAGTAATTTTTCATTTACTAAAATATTTATTAAAAGCTTTATTTGAATGTGGTCTTTGACCCATAAGCTTTATTTTGTGACTTGGAATGGCATTGCTATATTTTTGCATGAAGGTTACATTTAGAAATCTAACCGCCCTCAGAAAATAGTTTTTTGTGAATCTAAAAATTCTCAAGCTTGGTGTTTCGATGACTGGAAATGACATTTCTCTAAATGGTTTCTTTAAAAGCATACATAAGTCAGCATCACTCAGTGGCTACAAAAATACTGATGCAACTAACGGATTAAAAGTTATTTGCAGATTGTAGCATGCTAAATTTATCCCTAAGATCCACTCATGTCACCAAATATGGGTTTCTCTCGAGGACTGAAAAATAAAGTTATTTTAAAATATAATGTAACCCAAATGTTAACAGTCCCCTTATGCCTCCTCATTCTTTCCTCTTTTCTATATCCTCTTTAGCAGTGGACAGATAATAAAATTTCTTCACATAGCTGCATTAATGTTGCATAAAAATTGGAAAACAAAAGGAAAAGCTACCAAATGGAAGCATTTTTGTGGCTTTCTTTCTTTCTGTTATTGTCGTCCATTTGCAAATGTATATCTTTGTTTACATACATTTTTGTGCCGCCTTGTTTACTTTGTAGCGAATCCCCCCAGGAACTCCCTCATCTCTGTGCCAGGTGCAGCAACTTCCCTCTTGCCTCTCTGTTGTCCCCACGTGGACAGGGATCACATCTTTGTCTCTCTGTAATTCCCTGGAGGGCACAGCGACTGGCACCTTGCTGTGTGCCCTCAGTACTATTCACTGAAATTCCCAGTAGTAAGTCGCTGAAGTCATCAAGGAGCACACCAAGTCTTCAGAATTATGACTTACTGTGCTATGCCTAGATCTCATACTAAGAGAGACTCTGTTCTTTTTCTCCCTTGATAAGAAAAAAATTCAGATTCAGAAAGCTTCCATAACCTGCCCCAGGTCACAGAGATGACAAGGGGTCCAGCTGAGATTCAAAGTTCCACTGAATCCAAACCCCCGACTCCTGATCAACCTGTATGATGAATGTCTTTGTGAATACAGAGGGTTCTCTCTTTAATGGTGCCTCTATTTCAAAGCTGGAGAGCTCCGACTGTTAGAAAAATGCCTAGTATGGGCCGGGCACAGTGGCTCATGCCTGTAATCCCAGCACTTTGGGAGGCCGAGGCAGGTGGATCATCTGAGGTCAGGAGTTCGAGATCAGCCTGGCCAACATGGTGAAACCCCATCTCTACTAAAAATACAAAAAAATAGCCAGGCATGGTGGTGGGCACCTGTAGTCCCAGCTACTCAGGAGCTGAGACACGAGAATCGCTTGAACCAGGAGGCAGAGGTTGCAGTGAGCTGAGACTGCACCATTGCACTCCAGCCCGGGTGAGAGCGAGATTCTATCTTTAAAAAAATAAAAATAAAAAAAAAGCCCAGTGTACCAGGGGGTTGTGACAGACTCTGAAGTTGGTGATCATGCCGGCCCTGGTATTCTCCACTCCAAACTAGTCAACACCACCTTCCTCACACTTTCCCTCCTACAGCAAGGCTTCCAGTCTTCCCACCCGTATCAATCCCTTCTGGAGGGTTTTTTTTTTTAAGTCTGTGCATATGTTGCTTTAAATATAGTGCCAACAGTTTGGCAATACGGCCCTTTGACTTGAAAATTAAAAGTCGCTCTTTTCTAAGAAAAGACTATTTCCTCTTCAGCCATGGTAACAACTAAGCAGCACAAAGGATTTAAAACCTGACGGGCTACCTTGTCTTCAGCCTCACACTGAAATTCATGCTCCTCAATCAGCCAATCATACATCGCACATGAGTCTCAAAGTCAACCAATCAGAGATCGCTGCATGCTTCTGCCATCCAATCAGCAATAGCTGTATTCTAATAACCACACCTCTTCAATTTAAGGTCAGCCAAAATCTTAATGCTCACTCCTGAAATTCCATTAATCCTTGAATTCCATGCTTCCCTCAAACTTTTGTTTTGTTCAGAAAGACTGCCTCAAAGCAAAATTTTCTTACTTTACAAACAGTAAATCCCGCTTTTTGTTCCAAGCTTTCGCTAGTGTCCTCGTCCTTTGATAGCCCTGACAACTGTCCTTACTGGAAGTTTATCCTAAGAAAATAACCCGGCATACGTGCCAAGATTTAGCATTAGAGATGACATCGTTCATGGCAGAGAAGCAGCATGTTTTCAACAGTAGGCTACTAGGTATAAATTTTGATATTTCCATCAAATGAAATTAATGCCAAAATAACCATGAAAAATCAAGCTGTGGCAGATTATTTTATTGATATGTGGAAATGTCCAAGACGTGTTAGTGGAAAAAGCAGATTGTAATGTAGTATTTATGCTATGATTCCAATTTTGTGAAGTATTTAAGTACATATGCATAGGAAAAAGGACTAGATGGATATATATGAAGCCATCAATAGTTATTATAGGAGCTAAGATTACAGGCAATTTTCCTTCTCTCAATTTCAGCATTTTCTTAATTTTCTGCAATGAATACATATTGCTACTGTAATTTAAGAAAAAAGAGCATTTTTAAAGTGATATCCAGAATAGAGCACAATCCACACAACAGAGTAAAGACAAATGCCTCCTTGATCATGCAGACACCCAATCGGATCATATATCACATGCAGCTCCGTAATGCTGTAGGCACATATTGAGTTTAAGGTTAATTTCATCTTCCTTGTCCTTTCCTCTGTATATTCCCAGTCATGACCTCTCAAGTCCTATCTGTTAAAATTGAACTCATTTTCCTCTTATTCCCTGCCCGCCCTGGCTACAGATCCCCTCCCAGCGCACACACACATACACACACACATACACACACACACACACACAGACACACACACACATACACGCACACACACATACACGCACACACACACATACACGCACACACATACACACACGTACACGCACATACATACACACACGCACACACATACACACAGGTTCACACACACGCACACACACATATGCACACACACATATACACACACATACACACACATACACACACTGGCACTCCTTTCACCACAGCAAGTTTTCCACAATCCTGAGTGCTCCCAGGCCTTCAGGCTCTTCTTCCCTTTGCATCCTGTCCCTTACCAAGCCCTCCAGATATTCTTCCAGAACGCCCTGTGCATTCGCCCCCTTCTGCCAAGCTCTATTTCAACTTTTCCTACTTGATAAGGTATCTCAGACTGGCAACCTGAGAGCCAAACGTTGCCCACAACCAGTTTTTCTTGACCCACATACTCCTGAACTATAGATCAACAAGTATGGATTAAGAGACTTCAAATGAAAATACAAAATTCTGGCCTCTTCCTGAAATAAAACAAAACCAAACACTATGTTGAAGTTGAGAAGTGACTTCCCCTTTAGACACAGCTAATCCCTTCGTTTTCCACAGTCTCCAGCACTCCCCATTGCACCTCTCACACCGAGAGTTCCAGAAGTCATCGAATGTCAAACTTGCTCAGTTGTTTTTCTTGCACAGTCCTTGTGGGCATTTGAGTGTGTCACCCTGACCTAGATTCAATGAAGTTTAGTCACAAGCAGACTTCAAAATACTTTTAGAGTACGAATATCTTCGATATATTTTTAAAATTGTATTTGCGCTTTGCTGTCTAATTAATTACAAAATGATAAACTGCCTAAGAATTGATAAGGTAGAAAAATGCATCTCGGCTTTCCCTTTTTATCTCTGAACAAACAAGAAAAGGAAGTCTGAGGCTGGGCACAGTGGCTCACACCTGCAATCCCAGCACTTCAGGAGGCCAAGGCGGGATGGTACGAGGTCAGGAGTCTGAGGCCATGCCTATGGTCAGTCCGGTCCTTCCACGTTCCCCTGCCTGCATTTATCCCAGCCTCACTGGCAGCTGATTAGATGGTGCCCACCCAGACTGAGGGTGGGTCTGCTGTCCCAGTCCACTGACTCCAATGTTAATCTCCTTTGGCAACACCCTCACAGACACACCCTGGTACAATGTGTTTCATCCTTCAACCAAGTTGACATTTAATATTAACCATCACAGGGCATCTGTTACTTCTGTGTTTTTAATGCCTTTTTAAATGAGTGCCAACATCTACACCCACAACAAGCCGCTGGTTATAACCAGCATCACTCTCTCCATAGTGACACCTTAGACTCAAAGGTTCAGGGGACTTCAAGGTTACCCTTGAGGGAATGCTTGAACCTACTACCATGCTCTAATTTCATAGCCCGAAACTCTCAACAGGCAACCGAAATACAATTTGGAGGTCAGTCTAACGGAGGGCGAGGCCATTGGAGCTTCAGGGTCTCTTTGAGAGTGCTGGCCTTGTGGGCCTGAGGGGACCGAGAATAGGTATTCAAAAACAAGAGGTAGATTTTAGAGACAAGGAGCCAGCGTCCACTTCCAAAAAGACTACCTCGAAATCTTCCGGATAGGATCCATCCCTCGTTTCGGGGTCTCTAGTTAAGAGACACTGATGTCAAAGCACACAATTGGACAGAAACACTCTGGAACGCAGAGTTGTGGAGAGGCCCCCAAAGCGTGATCTTTGCTTGGTTACTGCCATTGATTGCTCTTCCAACAGAGGCAGAAATTGTGGATTTAGTGATTTGGGTGTCCCAGATTCATATCCTCAAGGCTGTTACCACAGACTGTAGCTGTCCTGGTATATATTGATTGCTACAGTCTCAAATGCAAAGCAGAGGCAAAGTGTCCGAGGAAGGGTTCAAACCGTCCTGCTTCTTACTTAAGTCCATTCAAACTCCAGACACTCTGGCATACATTATCACATTCTGATCCTCACTACACTTTGAAGTCAGCAGGTGAGGTTGCATTACGCATTTTCAAAAAGGAAATGATTTAGTGCTTAGAGAAGCTGAGTGAGTTGCCCCAGGGTCCACGGTGACTGCGTTCTGCTGAGACTGGCGTAGGTTCTGAGAGAGTGAGGGAAGTCAATGGGCCTTGGAGCCTCTTCACACCCGGTTTGTCAGAAGAAGGAAGTACCAAGAGATTCAGAGGAAACGGCGTGCCCAAGAGGAGGGCGTGCCTTTGCTGATGTGTTCTGGAGAACCAGGGTGGCCAGAAGAAGTCAGAGCCATAACTGGGAGTGAGTACCATGTGCCCATTTTATGGATGAAGGACCCTGAGGCTTAGACTATGTGACCTCTAGAAAAAGCTCGCCTGGTTCTAGATCCAGCTCTGCTGTCCATGTGTGAGGCTGGGCATGCTCCCCACCTTCCCCCATGGGAGACTCAGGTTCTCCTAAACAGAAAGAAGTGAGGAGTCGGCCCCCAAGGCACAGTCCAGCTCTAAGATATGAATTCTTTCTGTTCATCTTCATTCTCTTTGGTATTCTATGGTTTATGTGTCTGGATAGTAAACCAATTTGATTTCTTATTACAAATACTTCATCTTCTTTCATATAAATGCTGGCAAATATGAAGTTATATGTCCCCAGAGGGACTTTGTTTTCCATGCCAAACCACAATGCCTGTTACATGACCAAAAAAAGTGGCAGTTTTAATCTCCTGCTGACAGCTATTAGAGATTAATGCAGAGTGCAGGGCGGGCAAAACACCAGTCAGTGTTAGGACATCTTCCCAAACCTCCACCAATCACGTTCCTGAGTGGGTTTCCAACGTTCCAACTGAGCCCAAGGACCTCATTAATACCCCATAATAATGGTTTCCTACAGTCACAGATTCCTACTGTCAGGATGGATAGAAGACAACAATCTTTACTCAGCTTCCATGTCCCAGCACAGAACCATTGTGCACTATGAAATAATATGGTTTTATAAATCCTATCATTCTCTTCAGATAGCACCATTCTACTATTTTTTTTTTTTTTTGAGACACAGTTTCACTCTGTCACCCAGGCTGGAGTGCAGTGGCACGATCTCAGCTCACTGTAACTCCAACCCCTGGGTTCAAGCGATTTTCCTACCTCAGCCTCCCGAGTAGCTGGGACTACAGGCACGTGCCACCAAGCCCAGCTAATTTTTTTTTTTTTCAGTAGAGACAGGATTTTCATGTTGGCCAGGCTGGTCTCAAACATCTAACCTCAAGTGATCCACCCACCTTAGCCTCCCAAAGTGCTGGGATTACAGGCTTGAGCCACAACGCCCGGCCCCATGTGGTATTGTTATAAAACTACTCAGGCATATCAGTGTTTTAAATCCACCACAACTCCGAGAAGCAAAGCCACTCCAATAGTAGTATTATTACTGCTGCCCAGACCTCAGTCTGAGTCTCTAATGTCTTATGTCCCTTTAGTCCGTATGTCCTTTTAGTGGAGTCTAATAGACTCTGAGTGTATTAGACTCCATTAAAAGGAACCAAGACTCCTCAAAAAAAATGGTTAGTTTTAGGGAGAGTTGGTACAAAATAAGCCTGGAACATTTTGTTATGGTAGAAAGTAAGTGCTGAAAAAAATGATGGGAACATCATAAGGACATGAGCCCCAGCTTGAAGGGATGCTTACTGATGAAAACTAGGGCAATATGAGCACCAAAATAATTAAGTAGAGCAATGAGATATAAACAACTGTAAAAACAGGAACTCATGAGCCCATGGTAATAATAAATAGATGAATAAATAAATAGGAGACAGGAAGACTCAATTACAGTACAATACTGAGGGAAATCGGAATGACAAAATCACAACTTTCATCATCATTGGAATCGCAGAATCATCATTTTGCAACTCTCACAGTAAAGACTGGATCAGACAAGAAGCATCAGTGGATGCTAAATCTAGGAGGAAGTTTTGACGAGAACAAGATATTTACATGATATTAAGGTATGTCCTCATAGATTGTTTATTACTGCAAGCGAGAAAATAATGACTATACAATGAAAAAATATTGAACGACACCTAGACCAAGAGATCAAAATTCACATCATCAGTGAGAGACAGAGGGGCATCCAGTGCCTCCAGATGTGAGACCCTGAGAAGGACACAGTGTCACCTTCGCAGTCTTCCAGACAAGAATACAACCCCAATGTGATCATAAGGAAACACCCGACAAGCACAAAGGAAGACCCTTCAGTTAGGAAAGAGGAGACGGCTGTATTCCTGCAAAACCGTCAAGGCCCTATGACACAAAGAAAGCTAAAAAGACATGACATTTAAACCTTGACCCTAGGCTGAATCCTACATAGTAGAGGGAAAAAACTATTTAAAAAATATATGACTGGGTTCAATGACAAAACTGGAATACAAATGGTAGATCTGAGAAAAGGCACTGTGTCAATGTTAAATTTACCTAGGTTTATAACTGCACTACGATTATGTGTAAGAACCTCCTTCTTAGGAAATACACACTGAAATACTTAGGGGTAAAGACAATGAGGTATGTAACTTCCCTTCAAATCGCTCGGGAAAGAAATCAGACAACAGATGGAGGTGCATTAGATAGATAGATACATGGATACACAGATGGATGATAGGTAGATAGATGAAGATAGAAAGATGAACAGAGAGGGTGAATGGTAAGGCATGTTGCTAAAACGTTGACAGTAGGTGAATTTGGGTAAAGGGTTACAGGTGTGTTTGTGCTCGTTCTGTTTTTGCATGTTGTCTATAAATTTGAAGTTATTTCCAAATTTCAAAGTTCTTAACATTTGCCACTATCTCTATAAGCATGTTTTGGAATTTATTGATTTTTAACTTGGCAGGATTCTCCAAACTTGGCCGAGGCCCAGACCTCTCCTGATCTTTCAGTCCCCAGGGGCTCCCACCTCTCACCAAGAGACTCTCCCCTTATACCACCTCCTCTCTCTCCATAGAAGGGGAGGGGCAGAGACGCCCTGGGGGAGGTTGGTTCATGCTCTCACATGGCACCAGCTAGATGACCAGAGACTCAGCTGGCTCTCTTCAGATTTGGTAACTGGGTTACATCTGCGATATCGTTGAGGCTCTTAAGCTAAGAGTATTCACTTAGAATTCTCATATGTCATGAGGCACCTCCTCACAACCAGGTCCCCTTCTGCTCTCCCTGTGCCCAGTCCCTGGGCAAGGTCACCCTGTCCACGTCTTTCACTCACCGTTTACAGGATGCCCAGTCACATGGTTACTTCTTGAGCCTGAGCCTCTTCTGTGAATTCCAATCCCGATATCCAACTAATTCCTTGACAATTACATCTCAGAAGTAGCTCAAAGTCAGCATTCCCTGAACCAAAGTCTTCATCTTCTCATCCTAAACTGGAATCTTCTCTAGGATGCTCTCCAACGGAGAAAGCATTACGTGGGCACCTAAGCCAGGCCCTGCCCCCTAAATATCTGTCTGAGCCATCCACTTCTTCCCAACCTATGTCCACTCTGAAGTAAGCTCCCAGCTGTCCACATCGCCCTCACATCCACTCTTCAGCAACAGCCACAGGGGGCTTTCCAAAATGAAACTTGCCTATTTCTGCTTACTCAGGATAAAATCCAAAAGCTTCAGGATCTATAAGGCTTCAGACGGCCTACCTCAAGTGCCTCATCTCACATCTTCACCACCGTTCTCCGTACCCCAACCACAACCGGGGCTCTGGTGCCTTGAGTTTGTCCTATCCCTCGCCACCTCAGGAGGTTCCCCACATCCAGAACATTCTCCTCCCCACCTCACCACTCCACCTAGCTAACCTCCCTTCACCCTTCAACTCTAAGCTGACTTCTCTTCCTGTGTGTGCCACACTCTTTTCAATAGCTGGCATAAATTATGCTGGTCACTACTGCTGTGTCTAGTTTGGTTGATTCAAAAGGAAGTTCTGTGAGAAAGAACATGGATT